TGGATTTCGAGGCCTCTTATGATGATCATACATGCCGAAAGTGCCGTAAATACCGAGTAAAACGGATGTGCTCTTAACATGGTTTTAAGCAAGTGTAGTTGGTAGGGGGGGGGGGGCGCCTACTACTACTACTACTACTACTACTACTACTACTACTGACTACTGACTACTGACTACTGACTAGTACTACAAGCACTACTAGTACTACTAGTACTAGTACTACTAGTACTACTACTACTACTACTACTACTACGACGACGACGACGACGACGACGACGACGACGGTGACTTCGACGACGAGGACGACTACGACTGCTACTGCTTCTGCTGCTGCTGCCACTGCCACGACGACGACGACAACAGCAACAACAACAATAACAGCTAGTTCTTACTATTTTGTACTGCTACTTCTTCTAAGAACAACCGCACCGCTCTAATGCCACTACCAGTCTGTGTGCTGATGGTAGCAGTAGAACTGCGTTTAATTTTGACCAAGACATGCACCATGCATTGGATGTCCGAGTAGTCATAAGTACGCACTTGTTTCGGGTTGCACTGTTTGGGCGCTTGGGAATGTAAAGGCCTGGTTGGGTAACGGATTGAACTATGGTCTCAGAAAGGGTCGCCTGCGTCCCTCCCCGACACGGACGGCTACAGTACAGCACCTAGCTGCACACGCAGCTTAATCTGTATAGAATCGGACATGTGCTTCTTTGCGCTTCGCTTAAGAAACAAAATCAGGCCGTGTGTCGGGTGAGGTATGCCAGATCTAGTCGGCGCAGTGTTGGCCTTGGATGGTGATGCATGAGTTGTCGATGGTTGCATCGTTCATGAAACGGCGGGCTTTAGCCAGAACAGCCATGTTTTGATTGCGCTGACGCTGCTAATAATACTTACCCGGTGTATTCGCAGGATGCTTATCCTTATTCTGATTGCAATACGCTTTCTGTCGTCAACTCGCACGGCGTTTTCAATGGTGTCATACTGCGCAAAGGCTTCCTGGCTCCGTGACCCTGCCTGAAGAATGGCTGGGAGCTTCGTGCTTGTTCCCATACTATTTTCGGCTTCGGATTGTTTACTCAAGAAAAGTTTGCAGTTGAACAGCACTTTTCGGCCAGTAATTGTGGGTCTTGTCTACCACGTAACTTGACACGCTCAGGCGACCAAAACGCCTAGAGTCTAGAGGCCTTTTGGCACCCAGACCCCTGAATAGCATGCCGAGTATTGTAAACCAGATAAGTTTATGGTTTATGGTTGCCATGGTAAGCACTGAAGCAAGAGACACCGACCTAGAACAATCTCCAAAGAACACCAATGAATGCACAAACAGCTTTCAGGTTACTGCAGCTCTTCTCTCGGGGTTGCGGCCCTCGAAGAGAGGTGATCGGACATGCGCAAAGTGCCAAACTCCCGTCTCGTGGGGCTTCTGTAAACCCATACAAGGGGTATGGAAAGCTGCATGATGTAAAGAGCTTAACAACGATCATGGGAAACCTTGTTGCAAATGTGGCTCAATCATCTCACAGCCCATCCAGGAATAGGCTTAGCCAACTGTGGCACGCTATCACTTCGGGTTGTTCACTGGGTCTAGATGGTCTGTGCATGTCAATACACGCTCCTACACAGGCGAATTTAACATGCTGCAACCTGATGCAAAGCCCATCGAACCTTCATCGCCATGGGGCTGAGAAGTCCACGGGCTTCGCCGGTGGTTCTCCCATCTCAACCGGAGGCGTCCGCCGTGGCATCTTGGTTCAACGGCAACCAGAACTAGCTCTCCTTTCGCCTACCTGTGATGAACTCGAGGTTTGGTTTGGCGGTTCCAAAGCCCAGGCGGCCCAAACGTGGGATCTCGAAACGGCTGAGGTCTTTCTTTACTCAGCATCTCCTGGCATACAAACAGCAGCGGGGATTTACAACTTCGTGGTCCCTCTGTGTTGGGTCATCGCTTGTTTGCTCAAGCTCTACACTCCCTCCGATTCCAACATCCAAGCTCAAGCCCCGGAGGCCAAAGCCATGTTTCGCCCCAACTAGCCATGAACGTCCACGGGTTTCTTTTCTGTGTATTCGTACGTGTATGCGAAATTTATATATGCAAAACGAACATGTCCACACCTTCACAGCTTCATGAACCTGTTCGATCCAAGCGACAGGCCTAGCGGCTCCAGGCGGATGTGACTTCTCTTCAGCACGTCGCCGCGCGACGTCGGCGTCGTGCTCCTGAATCCGTTTAGGGTCTGCTGCTCGTGGCCGTCCCTGTGTTCAATGAAGCACCCTCCGTGAGGGTGTGTTCATCATGGAAACAAATCACGCGAATGTCTGAAGAAGAAATGGATGTTCTGCCATCTCAAGATTAGAAGTTTTGGATTTTGAGGCTGCTGTCGGTCGTACTCATACTCAGTCCTACTCCAATTGCTTTCTGAGGACCCTGGCGCAAGTCCTAATACTAGTTGCAATCCTTTAAAGCAAGCTGTGACATGTCTATGCAGAGTTTCTTTGCAGCTGCGGCCCTAAACCCTAAACCCTAAACCCTAAACGATCAGTGGTACCGCGACGGTCACAGACCTGGAGCTTCAGGAAGTCAAGTCTGTCTGTTCTCTTCGGAGTTGGAGGGACCCAATCCAATTCTCATTGGCTTCAGTAGGGTTTAGGGTTTAGGGTTTAGGGTTTAGTAAACCCTAAACCCTAAACCGCAGTGACCATGGGCTCCTCCACCGTCATCCTTGGCTGACAGGGAAACTTTATGCCCAAGTATCATCGGTCATGACTCATGACGGCATTAGGGAAGTACTTCGCGGAATGCTAGCACTGAGCAGCATCCCTGAAATCTTCTGCGGTGTGACAGGCTGCGAGGTGGGATCATCTGCATCGTTGGGATCGTTCGGATCCGGCGGATAGCTTTTCGGATCCACCTTGGCATCCGAAGGGACATCGTCGGAGCTGGAGTAAACATTGTACATGTAGCAATGGTCGGGGGCCGCTAAACCCACCCTGGGGGAAGGAGAATAGCTTCTTGCCTTCTTCGTTCCATTTAAAAGCTGCTGGGAATGGCTTCAAAACTCGTTGGCGAGGTCTCAATATCCGTGCTGCAAATTTCGGGCCCCATCCACTCCAAGTCTGACCGTTAGGAGCAGAATTGCGGTGCCGAAGGAGCGTCCACAGCCCACATAACAAAGGACAAATAGTAAACAAGTTTACATCTGGCTTTACGGCCCTGAAGGTTGAAAGTTGGACACCTTACAAGCCCGTAGATAACTCGAAAAAGCCCGCTAACAACTCCTCCTCAAGTGCAAGAAAGGGGCCAGCCACCCTCTTTGCACCCAACGCTCGGCCTCGTCGGAAGTGAGCCCTCGGCCATACCTTTCTGTAGAGTTGGGGAGTACGGGGTTTAGGTAAATGGATGGATTTGTTTAGGGTCCATGGTTGAGGGCAATGGGGTTTGGGGTGTGGCGATCTGTGGGGGCTAGCTACGGGTGTAAGCTCATTGGTAGGATTTTTGTGGGACGGTGTGTGGTGGGCGCGTTTCATTGATCAGATGTACACGATGCTGAACGAGGACCTGCAATTTGCTTACGATCTGTATGTCTTTAGACGCTGGATGTCACACGACCAGGGTTTCTTTGGCCAAATTCGACAGTCGCTGCTACCCTGGCGCGCCGGAATGGAAGACTTTGGTCTCTGATACATGATTTACGGATCTGGTGTATCTCGGGCTGCTTGGAGTCCGGAGCAGAGCAGACCTGGAAGATTGGTTCGCTTACCCTGCAAGAGCCGTAAACATACTGAGCCTTCAAGCCCGAAGCTTTGAGGCCCTTACATACGGTAGCATCCCGTTAAAGCCCCCCCAAAACCCTAAACCCTAACCTCCTGAGATAGGGAGAGGCACCGCTTCAGCCATCGCGAGCCCTTCTCGGGGTTGTTTCTGTCCTCGCTGGTCGGGCTCAGGGATTTCAAAGCGCTTGATCGCACGAGGGATCCAGGGAAGCGATGTTTTGCAAGATAGGCACTCTACAACGGTCTCACTGCAAGTCATGCCATCCCCTCTGGATGAGTATCGGTTGCTGTTTGTTCGTCACTCCTGGTTTCGGTGAATTACAAGCTGCGACTACTAACCTCCGGTTGCTACTAGATAGCCTGCCTCCTCTGCCATCCCAGCCTTGACTGCTTTTGTTTCTCTTATCTGCTCAACCTGGGCCTGGAAAGGCTGCCCCGAAGCGTGAATTCAAGAGACCACCCCACATCGCAGCCCAGGAACAATCACGATGCCGGGGAGACGCTGCAAGTCCTTGCCACAACGAAAGACAGGCATTACTCTTGTCATGATTTGTAGCATCCAAGTGGGGAAGTCTGCTCTCTTGTATTTATTCTGATCTGATTAGGAACCTGCATTCGAGCTGCGACTTGAAACTAAAGAGCTCAGGTGTAATGTTCTGCATGTGACTGCCGCGCGGCTCTCCCTGCTGCTTGGTGTACCTACATCCCTGTCGTCACTTGGAGACGTGCAATTCAGGACGGATTTGTGTTTTCCTATAGCCATGATGGCTTCCGGCTATACTCGACTAGGACGAGGCCTGCTGGACTGTCGGAACCTCGAGCGGACCTGGGACGATTCAGCCGGATTTCGCGCGAACGTGGGTGCTTGAATTTTGCTGCGGCGGCTGAAAGCGAGAGCGACAAAACGACAAAGAGAGAGAGAGAGAGAGAGAGATAGGAAAGAAACACGGCAGGTGGACAAAACGTGGGCAACCGAAGATCAAACTGAACGAGGCAAGAAGGGAGAAAGGCGAGGTCAGAAGAAAGCTACACGTTAAGGTCATCGACCTTCAGCCAGCTACTAGCATCCCCGAGGCCCAGCTGCAAATTCATTCGTCCTCGTCATAGCGCGGTCTCTGAGAATCTCCGGCAGTTCTAGTTTTAGTGCTAGTTGCTGTTCCACTGCCTCTGACTGAGCGGGGGCATTCTACCGAAACACTGCAAACCTGCGTCCTCGCCGGGCAAGGCTTTCACAAACCAGAAGCAGCCACTGGGATGGCCCTGGCCCAGCAAGTCTTGAATGCTCAGTTCTCAAGCCTATCCGATTTCGTTTGCATGTGCTTTTTGGGCGAGGGGTCAAGAACAGCGCGACTGCTCACGAACCTGATGGAGCAAGGACACCTACTTCTAGAACACAACTGGCACATCCTTGTTCTAAGCAGCCCTGGCGGGCAAGGGCCGGTGCTGTGCAGTGCTAAGTATCCAAAAAACTGTCTGTGCGGCCTCGCTAAGTTGGCAAACCGATGCAAATAAAACAATATAATAGAATAGAATATAATGTAATATAATATAACAGAATATAATGTAACATAGTATAATAGAATATAATGTAAGGTAATAATTTCACCAACAACTGACAACCCCTTTGCCGTGGGCCAGGGCACATCCTTCCGCGTTCCCGGCCCGGAGGACTTGCAGTTGATCTCCTGTTTCGAGCTGCAAGAAAAGCGGCTTGGTGCTCCGACCGAAGTCGATCGATCTTAGAGCACCAAAGCCTGCACTTCGATATCTTGTGCAGCCAAGCTTCAATAGGAGCATTGTAGAGCTCCAGATACCTCGCACTTGTCATTGCACTGGCTGGACCGCAGGAACCCTTTCCACTTCAAGCCACCCCGACACTCGCGAAAATTAGCACGACACCACCTAGATAAAGTTGGCTAAAGAACGCAGCAAGAATACTGCAAGCAGGCTGAATCTGAATGTTGATGTGGTGGAAGCTTCCGCAAGAAAGACCAAAGCCGTCCGAGGCTCTTCGTCGGCACGCACCACGGGTGCCCGGCTAGAGCTGAACAGTTTCCCTGGCTAGGCTTTTTTTCCTCTCGCATGGCAGAGATCTATGCTCACAGCGAGGTCTGTTTGGGGACTGTAGCAGTAAATTCACTTACTGGCTAGGCTTTATGATTGAGGGTTTCGGGGTTGTTGCATGTTGAGGCTGAGCGTTCATGGGCGCGGATGTCGCTGTCCAGGGTAGTATGAGCTTGATGCAAGAGGAGACGACTAGCTACATCTACAATGCATGTCAAAGGACGGTCGGATAGAGTGACTCGGCTCACTCTCCCGGTGTCGTGTCAGGCATTTCTTCCTCCAGCTCCCCAAAGTCCGGCCAGATACAAGCTTGACGTCTCAAAAAGAACCTCGGCCAACCTTGAACATTCATCCCACACAGGCTTTCATCACCCGCCCTGCCCTCCCGAAGGCTGGCCCCAGGGCAGAAGGGCGCTTTCGTCTGCTGTCCGAAGTCCTGCGGCCGCGTACAACGCTCCCCACACTGCGCCCAGCCCGTACAAGAAATGCCAAGTCCCAAACCGGTCAGGGTGGCTCAGTGTATCAACACGGGCAAGCGTAATGCATGCTGGCTTCGCCCAGAAGGGTGACATGGGCAACACCGTGTGCGAAAGCACGTAGCATGACGAGCCGCTTGATATGGCATGTCAGGACCGTTCTACCATGACGCTACCACACTATTTGGCAAGCCCCCGGCGGTCCAGTGGCAATGCGGTCACCTTGCCGGTAGCCGGATTTGCCGGGCTGTGCCCAGGCAGGAATCATGACGACAACGATTATGTTAAAGCCATACCGCGGACTTCTCAGGTAGTGAACAACGAGGACAATAGCACTGCATTGGTCAATAGTACACTAGCAGCCCCATGCCAGCAATCAGGGCAGCCCCCTTGTCTCTGTACTGCGACCAGGTCACGCAGGAGTCAGCCCCCTGGCAAAACTTGCCCTGCAAGGCACCTTGCAAATCACCGAACAGTTGAGTTAAGACGGTGACGGCATCTTTGTAGACGACAAGTGAAGTCAAAGCTTGGCCTGCTGCAGAAGCAGCCTGTGCCCGTCGCCGTCTTTCACTTCCCGGATCAAGTTCAGCCGGCGTTGTGCTACAGCTGGAGTTGCGCATGTGGCAAATGAATTAGTCAAAAGTTGACTCGAAAGCACCACGAAGACGGGGTTGGCCGCTGTACAAGCAAACCATGGCTCTCATGGCCTGAGATATCACATACAAAGTAATAAGCAGGTATAAGGGAACGCAAGAGAATGCTCCGGCTAGAGGCCGGCATCATGTTGCCCATGGAAATAGGAACATTTGCTAAATAGCAAATCTATGCTTTCAAAAGCTGAGCATGCCCACGGAAAGCTTTACACAGGGGGCAGAGTCTTGGAAGAGCAGCCTTTGCAGCCCGACGAGTACTGCCATGCGTTGGACGGGACATGCTCACACCAGCTGGCACATGCAGTTGTACCGGACGCAGGGCCTGAGCCTTGTGACGCTTCACTCCCAGATGCTCCCTGGACGCATCCGCGGCATTCCGGTGTGTACTGATGCGAGGCGTCGGGAACCCATCCGCACCAGCTGGCGCACCCTGCAGGTGCTGCTGGCGAAGATGGCGCAGACCCACTTCCACTGTCACCCTGCGAGCACCCCGCGCATTCAGGTGTGTAGGGCTGCGATGGCTCCGGCACGTACTGACACCAGCTGGCGCAGCCAGCTCCAGGCAGAGGCGTGGGAGTCTCTGGCCCATGCACCGGTGACCCGAAGCATCCATGGCAGCTCGGAGTGTAGGGCCAAGATCCATATGGGACCCATCTGCACCAGTTCACGCAAGTTCCATTCGTGACATTGTGGGGTGAACTGACGTTGCTTGGTGTTGCATGAGCTCTTCCAGAGCAGCTGCTGCACTGAGGGCTGTATTGCCAGGAAGCTTCTGGCACCCACTGGCACCAGCCCACACAGCTCCCGTCGCTGCCCGGTACAAAAGGTCCGCTTAGTTCTTGTCCAGAGCAACCGTCGCAGCCGTGAGTGTAGTTCCAAGAGGGTGTGGGTACCCACTGACACCAGTCCACGCATGTGGCGTTGCTTCCGTTGATGGGCTCTGGTGGGCCCACCGGCAATGGCGAGGAAACGTTGCCAGAGCAGCTGTGACACTCGGGAGTGTACTGCCAGGATGCACGGGGCACCCATTTGCAGTGGCTGGCACAACTGCTGATGTTGGTAGGTGCCGGGGGGCCATCCGAGCATCCTCGGCATTCTGGAGTGTACTCACGAGATGCGTGCGACACCCACTGGCACCAGCCCACGCAAGTCCCGTTGCCTGCAGGAGGCGCCGAAATGTTTTGCATGCTTGCAGAGCAATTTTGACATTCTGGAGTATATGGCCAGGAAGGAGTTGGGACCCACTGGCACCAGTTCACACAGCTTCCATTCCCAGTGTGGATCGGTGCTGTCGGGTCGTGTCCAAAGCAGCCATGACATTCTGGCGTATACTGCCAGGACGATGGCGCAACCCACCCACACCAGCTCAAGCAGGTGGGACTCGTAGGGCTCGGTGGGAGGGTGACGGGCCCTTGTCCGGAGCAGCCGTGGCAGTCAGGAGTGTACTGCCATGAAGTGCTTGGCACATAGAGACACCAGTCAGCACATCTTCCGGGAGCTCCAACTGGCGGCGGCGGTGGGGGTGGGGCCGGCACGGGAGTGGGGATCCCATGTGCTGAGCAGCCTCGACACGCAGGCGTGTACTGCCAGGAGGGGCTGGGAACCCATTGGCACCAGCTCACACAAGGGCCTTGGGATGCACCTCTCAATGCAGGCGAAGGGACCTCGGGAAGTGCTGCGGCAGTCGCCGCCAGAAGGAGGCAGGCCACACGGGATGCCATTCTTCGGGTGAAGGTCCCCTACACAAAAAGTTCCTAGTCGATGCTGCTGAGCTTGAACCTCCAAGATCTACGGCTGTGCTGATGTGCTGATGCACAGCATGCCACGGTTCTGCTACATCTGGCTGCAGGGGCTGCAAAGGGCCTGCCTTACCCTCGCGATGCACAAGTGCCGGCCCATGGAATGCCCGATGAAGACCCGTGGCTTCTCTTTGAGACAAGGATTCATGGTTTCGGTCATGGATGGACTCATAGACTCAGAACCATCTCAAGCCTTCAGCTCCGGCTTTTGGCAACCGGTCCGTAGGATTCAGGAATCAAGACCCTACTATGCTGATACGACCCGCGTCCGAGCCTTGCAGAACCAGGTATCGGGCCTAGGCTTAGGCCCTTGCCTCTGATGCGTCCGTATGGATCGCAAACTTTCTGCGGGTGCTTGCGCCTGAGATCGGGAGAGCGGTGCAAAGTTTCTGCGGCGAGGCCCAGGGCTCGGGGAGAAGGGAGGCGACAAGAGGTTCAGGGCCCTTGGTCCCCTTGTTCAGACGGCTGGAGGGGCGAGACCAAGACAGCAACGGAGAGAGACAGAGAGAGAACGGGGTCAATAGACTGAGTCATGGTCTGAAGGCTCGCGTGGTCCGAAGTAGTCCTAATCCCAACTCAACACCCACCATCTTTCCGGATATCGCCTCAGTGTCCTGAAATCCTGGGATCCGAAGCTACTAACATACCGTCGAGCGTCTGAGGCGGCGGAGGAGGAGAAGGTGCGTTTGGCGAGGACCGTATCGGACGAGGAGCTGGCAGAAAGGCTCGAAATTCGTTGGTGGATCACTTCATGTACTTGAGTCTTCACGCTTCAACCAAGATCTGGAGCCTAGATCCGAAGGCATGAGATTCATTTTCTAAGTTCTGTGTGGCCGTGCAACTGATCGTTCAAGCAAGGTTCGTGAAAGGTGTAAGCCACAGCATGGAGAGCCTTCTCAGTACAGTCCTCATGCTCATACGTTCACTCCTTTTCTCATCCCCCTCTCTCTCTCTCTCTGCCTCCATTCGTTCTCTTCTGTCTCACATCTGCCGGGCCTGGCTGGTCCTCATCTGGCACCTCTATTTCCTGCGGCCATGGCACGTCTCAACATGTGACAAAGTCGACATAGCCAGCGTGGACGGGGGTCCTCGTCCTTCTTCTTGAAAGGCTGCTGCGGGGCGAGCCCACCGTAAGCTTTCTGAGCGACGGAAAGGATTTCGGTGGTGGATCTTCAGGTCTCCCGCAGAGGAATTATTGAGTTCAATCGCAGGACCACTGCCAGTGAACGACACAGCCCTTTGGCTTCTGAGCTCTCATGATGACATTCTGAATCCTAGGGATTCATGCAAGGATCTCCATATTGCAAAATCAAAGGCTGGCAATTCGTGGTGCAACCGTCAAACTCCGAGCATCCCCAAGCAATTCCAACAAACAACCCTAAACCTGCTGCAGCCTGCTCAAGAAGATTCTTCTGCAACCCTGATAACTTGTTTTAAGGTCTAACTTGCAAATTTGACAGGTATAGACTAGGACAACGAAATCCTCTCTTGACTATTCGAGCCCAGACATGGTCCCGCGAAGGCTTTGAGTTCCTGACACCCCCGGCCATGCTGTCTGAAGCGCAGCCTTCGCAGCGATGGTCCGGCAACAGGTCGGTTGTAAATCTTGGGTTGCTTGACCATTCTGCTCCTACTGGCTTGTTGAGAAAGGGAATCTAGAGCTTCATGAGGAAGCCGCCCTTTGAATGAATACCCTGATATCGCTATGTACACTGTTCTATTGTCTATGATGTAGCCTCTGCACTACCACACTGCGGACTGCAAGTTCACGTGGAATCATTCTGAGAAACAGCTTTGTGTATCCTATATAACAGCAGAAACAACAGCTCCTACTCTTACTTCCAATGCCACTTTCCTGCTGCTGCTGCTGCAGCTGCGAGTAAGTACCAGGGCCACCGACAACCCTGTTGGCGACGACGACTACTACTACTACTACTACTACCACTACTACTACCACTACTACTACCACTACTGCTACCATTACTACTACCATTACTACTACCATTACTACTACTACTACTACTACAACTACTACTACTACTACTACTACTACTACTACTACTACTGCTACTACTACTACTACTACTACTGCTTCTGCTGCCTTAACTTAAGCTGGTGCTGCTACTCATGTGGCTGCTGCTACTACTTCTTCTGCTCCGGCAGTGTCATGCACGGACACGAATGTGAATGCTAAACTTATACATGGGGTCTTGCAGTGAAACCATCGCTTTCTGCACCGGTATGGGTACGCATCATCCATATCAACCACAGTTCCAGCAGCAGTATCAGCTTCCTCTTCCTGCTCCTCCTCCTCATCAAATTTGCGGAGTGCACCCGTCCTGCGTAGCAACCCTCTTGGTCCTGCCAGTGAACCTGGCCAAGGCTTCTGACATGGCTTTGCGTAACAAGGAAGGCGTGAGTTGCTTTGAGGGCTCCAGGAGAGAAGAGGATGGCGACTAAGTTGATTCTCAAACTGCTTCTCCGCTGATTGCAGGCACCAAGAAGCCGCACGATAAGAGCTCCACCTTGTGTTCTTGTAACAGCTGCCAAGCATCCTAAAGTACGCAACAACAGCGCAGGCAAACAAACGAAGCCAAAGATGGCCTGCCCCTTCATCTTCCCTTCCTTGGCTGCGAGAATAGGTCAGTCTGGGTGTCTACGGATACCGTCTTGTAGGAGCTAAAGTTCATATACTGCACTAGAGGTTGGTGGCAACCGCCGTCCTGCTAGATCGGCGTCTCGCCCAACTTGGCTCGACGCCTGCCAAAAGCTACGACGGCCGGTTGAACTAACAACACCTCGTAGTGTAAATCCGTTGTTGACAATGCGAAAGCCTCCTCCGAGCCGAGACATCAAGGAACTGGGAACTGACAACAACTCTATCGGATACATATGAGTGCAGCAGTTGCTTGTAACTCCAACTTCTTTTTTGCTGAATCGACTGTGACTTTGCCTTAACCAGACGAGTTTCTGGATCTTGTCCCTTCATCTGCATCGTTGGCGGGTCTTGGGGCTTGGGCAGGCCCCCGAAGATGAAAGCCGTCGGCTGTCCTGCGGGGTGTGCGCTTGTCATCAGGACGAAATTGCTTAACTTCTAACGGCACGGCAGCGTCGTCGCCATCGTGGTCAATTCTAGGCATAGTGGCTAGTATTACTGGTTGCAGTAGCAGCAGCAGGCTGAGGAGGAGGAGGAGTAGGAAAAGTGAGTAGAAGGATGGAGGAGGAGTAGGGGTAGGGGTACGGGTGGGAGTAGCAGCAGCAGTAGCAGCGGCAGCAACAGGAGCAGGAGCAGGATCAGTAGCAGTAGTAGGAGTAGTGTAGTAGTAGTAGTAGTAGTAGTAGTAGTAGTAGTAGTGGCTCTATCTGCTTCGCGCCTTCATGCTTCGATTTCGACAAACATGTGTGTGGAGGCACCGAGTCTATGCGAACTTAAAATCGACTTCTCCCACATGCTCCACCCCTAGGTGGAAACATTCATGGGCCGTTCTTGTGAATGTGAGCAGCAGCAGTAGCCAGGAAGCCCCTCCTCGGCCAAGACCCACAGAGAAACTTCCCTCACAAGAGAGCAATTGAGGATTGTCGAACTTTACGTGATGAACCAAAACGAAAACGTCTGCATCTGCATTGTGTTGAGCTGCTTGCGAGGTCATCAACAGTTGCCGGGCGTCTATGCTTTGATCTGCGGAGGTGGCTGGATTTTGCGCTTCCTTGGCAGAAAACGGTACAAATTACAGCTTGATGCGCTGCATGCAAATGGATGTGTAGATCGACAGACAGACAGACAGACAGACAGACAGACAGACAGACAGACAGACAAACAGACAGACATAGATACCTCCATCCATCCATCCATCCATCCATCCATCCATCCATCCATCCATCCAGGCATG